CCTCTTTGCAGGGAATCAGACACCGATATTCATCTGATGAGTTTCAGATCACTATTGGGGGAAATCTGCAACAGATTATCTGCCCTCCCTGCTTGAAGGCATGGGTGTGCATGTGTTTTCCCCCCACCCCCTAAAAAAGAAGTTTCTTATTTCAACCAATCTAATACAATGTTTTCATATTTAAGGCAGTAAACAATCACTTCAGCTAGAGCTTTTAAAATTTGAATGGAACAAATTACAGATGTGCTGTCAAAAATAAACTCTGGTGACATCACTGTAGATTCACAGTTCATTAATCTAAGTGGATTTCATTAACCACCATGATTGGAGCACCCCCTCCATATCAGGTAGAACATTATTTCTCGAGAAAGAGTCTAACTCACTGCTCGTGCTCAGAAAATGAACATACCTTATCAACACCAATAATAAAACTGTGTGCCACGTTAGCAATGAATCCGTCTACATGAACGCCCAAGTCACTGCAAAACAAAATTGGCATAAATCTCATCTGTAGCTTGTAAACACAATATTGAACTCGCAAATATGCTCGTCTTTCACAGCTCTGGAAGTTCCTCCATCACTACAAACACATAGGTTTAAGGATGAAGAACTTCCTCCAAGGTCTCAGCTGGTGAAAGCATATAAGCCAAGAATGCCCGAGTTGTTCCAGTCAGTTGATGTAGAGTAGGGCACTACAAATGGCTTCATTATGCCTGGATTGAGAATTTATAGAGAAAACAGAGTGAAAAGAGTCAGTTTGTGTTGCTACCCCTAGTCAGTAAGCAGTGACCGTTTCTGGAAAGTAAATGTCAAATGGGAACTGGATTAGAACTTCCTGCTCTTCCTACAGCATTGTGAAATCTTCCACACCCTGCTAAGCATTCAGACTTGATTTAATACCTCACCAAAAAGACAGCATCTCTCATCATGCCACACTCTTGGTTCTGCACCAAAATGTCATACTAAAATTACATGCTCAGATACAATTAGAACCCAAGAACTTGAGCCAGGCTGACATTAAAGATATTTTCAAACTTTTATCATCTTTCGCTCATTTGCTCAGAGGATAAATATGAATTGCATATTGACAAAGTACATCAAAAGTCCCTGTTTCAAGCAGCTTTGCTTCAAGTCATTCTACTTTAAAAATTGCAGCTTTTAGCACCAGTATTTCCGATTTGCGCCTTCAATTTGCCATTGTGTTGCACCTTTTGCAGCAGCAGTTTGCACCGTGATGACATATGCGCCTTTTGCGGCAACAGTTTGCACCTTTTGTAGCATTTTTGACAGAGTCCTGCAATCTAATTAGCGCCATTCTGAAGTGAGCATGACTGCTAGTGTTTGCCTGCAATTAAGGGAACTGCATTTGTTTAAAAAACTGATGCAAAGTTCAAGGTTTAACAAAGAACATCCAAACCATCAGGTTTTCTTTTGCAAGAAGTAGTTGAAACCTGGGTTGATGATTCCTGGACAGAAAAGGCATATTTCTGAAATAGATTTTGCAAGCAACCAAGCAACATCTGACCCACATGCACAGTAGCAAAATGTGCAAATTGCACATTAGACTTCTCAGCCACCTCAGAATCGGTCAAATCAGCATGGAAGAAAGACATCCCTAAAACCAAGGGACTTCTAATTGACGACACTCCCAGTTGTCCAGTTTCACTTTTTTTAAATGAAAGAGACATGCTAAATCAAACAGCACGAGCTTGAAAATGTACTTACACTTTAACAAGATCTTCCTCCTTCAAGATGTAGTCAGGGTCACTCTTGAGAGGAGAATAGTGGCAAACACAGTTGTTCACTGATATACAGGTGGGAAAGGCAATTCCTTTAAATAAAAGGGGCAAATGAGCCACGTCCAGAATTAAATTTCACACTGTCTCAGATACAGATTGCTGTTAGTGTTGATTTTAACACCTTTGTAACAGAAGGATTAACTGAACAGACACAATCCAAAACACCAGGTTGAGTTAATTCTACAACATGGTTATTCATTGATCAAAGCACAAGGTTTATCCGCTTCATTGGATAGAACGTATGCTCCAAGGACAGTGACAAGATGTCAAGCAAATTTGGTAGATCATAGCCAGGAAAATAAACTTACTCTGAATTATATATTTTTTAAAAAAAAAGTCATTTACCAGTGTTTCATGGATAACTTTCAATCACCTTTATTTATAAATACTCTATGACTGGAACCATGAGCACTTTTATCTCCAATGAGTACTTAATGACAATTAATCATTGGAGCAAATTTAAAAGTATGGCTTGGTATTGAGAGAAAATGGGTAGGATTTCTGTTGACATTATACATCAGTATGATGGTTCAGTCTATTACAAATGTCATGTATGGTAAAGGATACATTCATTACATGCATTGTAGAACCACAGGCTTAAGCACATAATGCAATGGATCACATATACACTGGATTTTAAAAAACCACATCACCCGGAGGCAGCCATAGCAAGAGCTTAGAAAATACTTCATTACCATAAATAATTTACTCAAAGATAGCATCACTTCAGCTCAAGGCAATATTTACAAATCTCTAATTCCTACGGTACAATCCTTTACAAATGTTTGCTTCAGAGCAAAACGCCCTGAATATCTTAATTGTACAATCACAAACTCAAACTCAAACTTACATTGTTTCACACAACATACCACGCCAACATTAAAAAAGATGGACCGACTGTTGAGCTGTTTACCTTTTTTCATTTCTTTCTCCTTCTTAAAAATTTTTCCTGTTTCTTCCATGATCATTTCATCACCTTTCTCACACAGGGCTACAACAGACACTCCTGCCATTGCTGCATCCACTACCATCTTCAGAACACCTGCAAAAATAACACACATCACATTAGTGTTACAATTGTAGATGATACCTCACTTGTTATGAACTCAGTACAGACCAGTATTTTTGTAAAAATCTGAAACTGCAGGTAATTAAGTAGGATACCACAAAAAGATCAAAAGGTTAAATCACAAGAATTTAACTATACAAAAAAAGCAAACATCGTCGATACTAATAAATTCACCCATGTTAAAAGATAATAGAAGTATAACAAAATTCAGTTACTTACAATCTAAACTAAACTCTAAATCACATTGCTTGGTCCATCCATTAAAATATCCAAGAACAATAAATTCAAAATCAGAGTTATTAAAATTGCAAGAATAACCACTTGGTTTCAGCACTGCTTCCACGATTCATACAAGGATCAAGTTTGTTTTTTTCAAAACTTTGCTTTCTTCCAGCAAAGTTTCTCTTCAAAATTTCTCCAACTGTCACACACATGCAAATTCCCCACCTGCACCAAAACTTCATTCTCAAACTACAGAACCTGCAACACTCAATACAGGTGTATTTAGCAACTTAAGTACACACAGTCACCTCAAGTCAGAACTCTCCTCATTCTAGTATTTCTCTCAACACTGGCCTCAAACTCTCACTTCACTTGGCTTTACCAAAAGTACATCTCACAATACAAACCCTTCAGTCAAGATTTTAAACTGTTGCAGCCAACACACAATTGCAATAAACCACAAGACAAGACATTTTCCCTTTTGCAGCCAGCCTGCATGAATACAGAATCACATCTCACTTGCATTGATTCCACCTCTTTCTCCCCCACCCCTCCATGCTATTGCTCAATTCCTAGGTAACCTGGTCACACGATCACTTAACGGAAGTCAGTGCTTCACAAGCACAGACTACAGAAGACAAAACTGGTCTTTGCTAACTACAGATGCCAGAAATGGGAAGCATAGATCATTGCCACAAATAGATACTCTTCTGGCTTTAGTCAATTCTTAAATAACTTCACAATAGCACAGACACTACCAATTGTGTAGAAAAGACATCATTTTGCTACGGCCGCAGAGAGCAAGAACATTTTTACGTATGCCAAAGCCATATCAACTCAGTTACTAACTGAAAAGGGTTCTTGCTTGTAGTCACAAGGGGATTAAAAAAAGGTCCTATAGACCAGGCTTGAACATCAACGTGCCACAAGTTGGAACGAAAGCAAATCTTGACAAAACTATTGGTAATTAGTGCAAAGAATGTTTGTTTTATTTTAAAATGCCTTGATGGGATGTCACCTGAGTCAAAGAGACACCAATCTAACACTTGCACCAAACTTTCACTCTCAAACCACATAGATCCTGCAACACTCAACCTCAGTTCTATTCTAAAGAACATGTATATTTGGAATCATAGCATCCCCACAGTGTGGAAACAAGTCATTCAGCCCATCCAGTCCACACTACCCCTCCGAACAGTATCCCACCCAGACCTACTCCCCTATCCCTGTAACCCTGCATTTCCCAGGGCTAATCCACTTAGCCTTACATCTGAAAAGAAAACTAGTTTTGAGATATTTGGAAACCACAAGATCACCTGAACACCTCTATGTAACAATAGATTCTAACATGTTAATTAATCTCCAATTGTTACAACGTTTATCCCAAAATAAATTTCACCCCAATGCAACTTCAGCCAACTAGATAAATAATTGCTATGCAGAACAGATAAGCAGAGGCAGCATGTTGAGTAATTTTAGTTTCAACTGTAAAAGTTTTGGAACAAGCTTGGCATGTACATTAAATCAGCAGAATATAATGTTCAGTTTCCACACTTCAAACAGCTGCTCAATTACCAGGCACATTTTGCCAATTAGGCCCCCCTCCTGCCAGGTTGCATTTTGTTCAAGTACTGGCAGCTTTCCACTACCTTCAAGTGATCGCTTCACATAACCCTAAACAGTGGGCACTGACCAACTGCCAGCTATGGTCAAATCTAACTTTACCTGGCATTCAGGCACAGACACCAGCACCAAGCAAGAAACAAACAATTAAATGACAAATAGAAAGTAATCAGGCTGCTTTTCTACACACAAGAACACAGGCACTTCACTCACCGGTGTCACAACAAGATCAGTTAACAAGTACAAGATCAAGAATGAAGTTAAGAACGTTTTGATCTGTATATCGCAGTTAAACAATTACCAATTCAGTAATCAAGGGAGCTGTCCTGTGTTGATTTAAGTTAACATTTTTTTTGTCTTCCCACACCATCTTCACATGAAAGCTGCTGGATTAGAATTCCAAGAATATTCTATGACACTTTGGTCAAATAGTCATTATTCACACACCTCTGATAATGACAAGCCAATTTGACCCATCTTTGCATCGTGAAGCATGATAGTGAGGAGTGATGACCGATGACCGAGCAGAGCTCTGTACAAATGAAACCAATCTGGTCCTTGTTTAAAAATCCATGCATAGATGCTTCCCACAAGACAGTCAATGGATAAAAGAGTACGGAGCAATTTTCTATCAAAGAACAAAGACATTTGTGGACCCCTTCCAAACCTCTGCGCACATTCTGCACCATATAAACCAAGTATCAAACCAGAGACCCGTGGAGTCTACAAAGTCACTTGTACATTGACACTCCTTAGATCAGATGCTGCAACATCAATGAACTTACTGCTTACACATGGCTAAATTTAGCTAACTTTTCACAAGTGCAGGACCAGAGACCGATAAAATAACTCAGCCTGTAATCTTACCACATGGATTAGGGCGCAAAAAAATTATAAACACAGGAGAGGAATTGAAGGAAGTCCATCCCCAGAATGCAATTTGCAACAATCTGAACAAACTGCACTGAAATCTCACATTTTATAGACAATAAACTGTTGCATTCAGAAAACGATGTTAGATGCTACCGTTGTACAGTGTCATGACCTAGAACCCCCAACTTTATACCTAGCCAGGATGAAAAGACCATTTTAAAGACATAGAATGCTAAATAGAATTACAGCTTGGATACAAATTTCAAGCCTGTGATGCCGTTTAGAACATAAATGTAAATAATAAAAAAAACAAGCTTTGGCACATCATATGACTCTTTAAGAATTCACAGTACCATACAGGATTCATTACTTTAGAATTCAAATCTGGGTCATAAAGTTAGCAGTTACACCAAATTTGAACCAGGATCAACTGTTAAAACTTATTCTGCACTTTCAATCATTGAGTTTACAATTCTGTGATTCCATACAGCCACTTCCTGCCTCCCAATGTGGGATATACAGGTGCAACTTAACATTAGATTGCTGGATAAATTATTTTTTGGAGCAGTTTGCTGAAAGTGCTCCATACACAGCTTAAACCAGTTTCCTTTTAAATTTTAAAGAAATGCAATTTATAGAACCATTCATACTGAAGGTTTAAAATTTATCCTTAACATATAATGCATACTTATAAACAAAAAGTATTCTTGTTGGAAGGTCATAAATGAAGTAAATATTCATGTTAGTTGATCGCAGCAGCATTCACCATTCAGGTTAATTGTACGTCTTGTATGAAGACACTTGTGCAAAGGGCACACGTGATGACCATGTGGTCAAATATCCCAAGACCGCTCACAGACAAGCGTGGGGTTATCAGTGCCTTCCGGAAACAAGAGACATGGAGGGGAAAGGGTAAAGGTATTTTACACTTGCATACCCTAGCTCTGAACTTCAACTAAAAATCTTAGAAACAAAAACATTTCAAAATGTGATCAAATCACTAAAGAAATAAAACAGAAGATTCCTAGGAAAAACAGAGGAAGTAATCTCTGGGAAGACAGACAGTTAATGTTTCAAATCAATTCATCTGAACTGCGTTCAAACCTAAAACGCTAACTCAGTTTTTCCCTTTACAAAATCCACTTTAAAAAGTTTGAATTCCGACCACTTGCAACATTTTTTTGTTTTTAAGTGCTTAGATTTCCAGCATTTGTGGTATTC